AGAAAGAACATATGCAATCCAAGCCACGCTAAGATAAACTAAGTTTTTTTGGGTTTTAAGTTTCAAGAGAGTTGTGGCTGTATTGGTTTTGATTCTTAAGTCACGTAAAACATTCCAAGACACACTGAAAGACACCCTCTGACAGGGTGCTGTGCTCCACGCGGTGGAAAAACATGTCGCGCGGGGGGTCCCGTCGCGACGCCTTCCAAAGGGACAGAAGAGTTTAAAAATCAGCTGAAATGTCATTTTGCACTTTGCCACGCATACAGGAGACACGTTTTCCAGGGGAAAAACGCCAAGAAGAGTTTCGGAGACTGAGTCCAAACAGTGTATTTGTATTGTCCTTTCTGCACCACGGTGCCCGCGTCTCCCGGCACTATAAAGAATCACCTCGACTTCCCCAGGATTACAGAAACAGACATTTACATTTAGCAGCAAAGGAGTTAACAGCTTGAAAGCCCATTAAGTTTATCATCTCTCATAAAACCTTTCCAAATGCTTTCAGCCCAGGAGTGAAGAATCTAAGCCGCAATACGCTGACATTAACAGAAAAAAAACAACTTCCCTAGCAAGAAAATATCCTTCTAGCACAGATGAATAAGTTCATACCAAGACACACTCTTCAGAGCCTTTAAAGAACCCATCTGATGGGATTTAACAGATCTGCATCACACCCTAAATTGTAACAAGATATTTACAACAGTGAGTAAAGCAAGAATACGCTTGAAGCTGACAGCATTCACTCTGTGTTATACAGGGAGTTTTATAGACCCGAAACAACCTTTATAGAGAAACAATAAACAACATCTTGCTCTTCGTACAGAGATCACTGAATTCCTGGAGTGCCACGACACTGCATACCACAGCACGCTGTTCATAGACAGACGGGCCAGTTTTTTGTTCACGGTGTCAGCATGTACTGTGCAATGTGTCCAGAAATTCATATGAACATACTTGAGCAAAGAAGTATTTGAAACATAAAAAAAAAAAATTTGGATTAAAAAAATAAATCTGAATGCGGATCTTGTACAGCTAATTACGGATTTGTGAAGTTCTGCAATTAATTCTGGAAAGTTATTTAAGTGGAATAAAAAGGTAATATGAAGCACATAAGTAGAATAACGAGGCAGTAACAATACAGAAGCACTGTTACACAAATCAGGACAAGCTGTAATTACAGAACTTATAAATTCCCTAATCTGCATACGAAATGCTTTGAAATTAAATGCATAATCTCAAACTTAACTTTCATGAATGCTCATTTCTAAGTGGCAAACTTCAGCCTTTCTTCCTCGAAGCCCCAAAATGCAGCAATCCCAGGCTCCCGAGCCGTGCGTACGTTAAGGGCTGCGGGGCTGTGACCTGCCACCGAGGAGTATCAGTGTTGTAACTCCCTGCCACGCTCCATGGAAGGGATGGCAGGGAAGAGCTGGATGTCGGAGGGTCCAACTTTCCGGGAGAGAAGAGGAAGGCTCTTGGCTTCAGCACCACCACCCCCTGCACCTACCCAGGCACCGCTTCTCCTCGGCTGACGCCCATCTCCTTGGCCACAGGTCATTTAGGAATGCTCACGAAAGAACACCACACACGCAAGCCCTAACCTAATTAAGGATATGAAATTAAGTACTTCTATTAGATGAAACTGAATTCCTGCATGGATACCTTCGTTCAGAATAAATGTAAACAAGAATGAAGCTAAACTAAATTAAAATCATATTTCAATTTATATCTTTGGTTTGTTTGGATTAACTTTCCTGAATGTTCTTGTACGGACAAAGCCCAGCTTTGAAGAGTTCTTGCTACCATTTCCAAAAATCCCTCTGTCATCCTCGTCCTGGTTTTAGCTGGGACAGAGTTAGTTTTCTCTTTAGCAGCGAGAACATGGCTGAGTTTTGGATTTAGTATGGGATCTGTTATGAGAAAAATGTTGATAACACGCTGATGTTTATAGTTGGTGCTGAGGCATCGAGGACTCCTCAGCTTCCCATGTTTTGCCAGCATGCAGGTGCACAACAGGCTGGGGGGAGCACAGCCCAAGCAAAGGACCCGCAGCCTACCTTGGGATTTGAGCTTGGACTTAGGATTGAGGCTGAAACTGGCCCATGGAATATTCAGTATCACGCAACGTCATGCCCAGTACATAGATGAGGGTTGGCCAGGAAGTTTGGGTTCCTTCTCTCTCTCTCTCTTCAGATCTTTTTTGGGGGCTCTCACTTTGCCAGAATTCCAGATTCAGGACTTCAATGTTTCGGGATCATTTGCTGAGACGCGATGGGCACTGGTCAGCAGATGGTGAGCAATTACACTGCACAACACTTGTTTGTATCTACTGTCATTTTATATAGTATAACATAATTATCTTTTTATTCTTATTATCATTATTACTTTTATTTTATTTCAATTATTAAATTGTTCTTCTCTCAACCCACGAGTCTCCTTCCCTTTTTCCCTTTGCTTCTCTTCCCCATTCGCCCGGGATAGGGGAGGGTGAGCGAGCAGCTGCATGGTGTTTAGTTCCTGGCCAGGTTTAACCATGACAATCTTCTAAAGAGTCATCTAATTCCTCTTCCTTGGTGACGCCACGACAGTGAACTTCCTTCGTTACAGTTTCCTAGAAATGCCATTCCATCCACCTTTACTGGGAACAAGGTCTTTTCCTCTAATTAAAAAAAAAAAAGTCATCCCCTTGGCCCCAGGACACGACCATGGTACTGCTGCAGGTACAAGTCTGCCTTCTCCAGGGTACACCAACTTACAGCCTGAGCATCTTCCAGCTAACAAATTCTAACTTTATTCCTCCATGAGACTCAATATATTTAGGAATAGCTACTGGAAGCCGATTAGGATAAAGACAAAAGTCTAAGCTAGAAAACAACAGTTCAAGTAGTTCAAACCAGCCCCCTGTCAGTT